TTTTTAACCTTCGGTTCTTTACATGTGTCACTTCTACCACGTGTCACTTTGTTGGCAAAGTCTTACAGCTTCAAAATGTCATCATGCCTCAATGTATGTAATGCACAAGTATTTATTTGTCATTATGTGTATGTGCTAGTTTGTGCTCTTACTTTCATGTGTGTTGTTGGAGAAGGACACCAGTTAAGAGTAGTCAGTACTTCCTTTTAGTGGAAGGGTGCAATAAAAAAACAAATGTAAAATAGTACAGAATTCATAAAAGAGTTAAATATAAGATAATTCCTATGTACTGAAGCAATGACAATCTAATTTTGCATTCACAGAAATTAACGCTTTGAATTTTATATTGTGCCACCTGTAATATGCTAAATTTTGAAATCAACTCATTTGCACTAAGTTCATGTTCTGTGCATTGCAGCTTTATTAAGCATATTTTATTTCTAGCTCTACAAGTCAATTGGTAGGCCCAAGGTGACCACACCTGATTTCTCCACTCCCTGGAACTTACAGGATTTTTTTTACAACTCTAGCCAGTACTGAAATTATCATCATTGACATTATGATTATAATGGTACTAAAATCCTAATAGCAATAGAAAATAAAAAAGCATGTGGGTAAACAAGTGCAAAAGGTAAACCTTTTTACTTAATTCTTTAGTGACTAATGAACTAAAATCACAATGGATATGGCACTTACATACACATCATCCCTGTGTAAATGGGTTAACAAAGAAAATTAAAATGCACTAATAATGCCTTCACACCTATGAAGATTTAGAAAAGCATACATAGATAGTCCTATACGTACTCAGAATCTGATAGTGAAATTCTGATGCATAACTTTTCAGATGTTACTTATATGGAAAATAATGTACTCTATGACTGTCCAGTAGTTAATCAAAGACTTTTATTTATCAAGAAGGAAAAAATCAAGGCATATCATTAATAAAATATGATCCAGTTCCAAAGAGAAGTCCACTATATGTTGATATATAAGAACAAAACGAAAACAAAAATATCTGTTAGTTAAATCACAACTTTTACAAGAAGTATACCTGATATGATGTTTCCTGTCGATAGCCACCTGAACCTGTGTGCTGGCTAATTGAACCATACTGCTCATTCACTGGGTCATAGTCAGCTATGCTACCAACACGGCGATTAGGCTGCTGTTGCACTGTCAAATAAATGGAGCACACATTTAGAACAGGACTATTTTTTAAATTAATTAACTTATTTATTTGGTTGAAAATGTGAATTAGGGATCCTTTATATCTAAATATTGTGATGTACAGTATAAATAAACCTAAGAGCAAAGCAAGACACTGATCTGACTTTTAGCTGAAAGAATCATCCTTGGATTGACTATATGAACTGCTATACAGAATACCTATCTCACTGGAAATACATGTAAACATTAAAGCCCAATATCATCTTAATAAATCCTTTTCAATGTAAATTTCCTCATTCATTCATCACTCCATTGTTCTGTTCGGCCAACTGTCTAGTTATCTATCTGTCTGTCTGTCACTACCAAATACCAATTTTTATTAATAGATTAATAGCCTTCTTAAAGGTAAGCTATTAGTTTACACCCATACTTGCTGCAATATTAAGTCTGACCTTTACTGAAACTGCTCCTACACTCTAACTGAGATCTCTACTGATATTGTATTGTAACAGGAAAATGAAATCAATAATATTATCTATAAACATTCTCTATAACTTTATTTGTATATAATTTTTGTTATTACCATCTGAGCAAAACTATAAAAAATATATATTGTCAATAAGATAGTAAAACACTACATTAGATTAAAACACTTTATCTACAAAAAAGGGAAAAAAATGAATAAAAATCTGTGATTACAAAAAATAAAAGCTAGAAAATCACACAGAGAAACACCCATTTATTTATACCCATGACCCCCTTGTCAAAGGTGTACTTGTTGATATTTGGAGATTCGTTCCACCATTGTTCATGGATGGGAGGATGGAATGCTACCACTTCATTTCCTCCTCTTGGCCAATAGTGTTCAGACCAATCCTCTCCCATTACAACTTCAATGTCATACATTTTTTTTATTGTATCTAGTTGAGGCAAGGGAAAGAAGTTCATTATAGATTTAGGTATATTCAATGCACAAAATACTGATCCACTGTAATTAATTAATGCAAAAAGATGCAGAACCATTCCTGAAAACAAATATATAAGTAAACAAATGCACAAACAAGTCATTTACAAAAAAATGTAACAAGCCACTGGTGGGTAAAAAAAAGGGGGATAACTCTGAATTTTTCCACATCTTACAAACAATTCTTAGGAACTAAAGGCCCATTTACACAATAATACTTGCATGATAGCATCATAAAGAACATGCAATTTGTGAGCATGAGTGACTTTGAACAAATTACTTTCCTTCAAGCATGTATGACTATGTTGTGGAGAGTTGTCTGCTCTAGTCTGACTGTTATGGGTGGCAAAGCTTGCCTGCACACACACATATACATCTTTCAGATATCCAAGGACAGCAGAAACACTCCACTGAGTCTCCAAATATGACTAAGCCTATTTCTATAATGAATGAAACTATGCCATTAAAAGGAGAAAGAGAACATCTACAAGATTAAAAAATCATATAAGCAAAATACATTATTTTGGAAGGTTATATTTAAACCCTAATTCTATATCCTTTATCAACTTCGACTGTTCCTTTTATTTTCTTATCTATATATCATTGTCACCTATCAATGATCGGCCTACATCCTTGCTTGTAACTACACAGCATCAAATGAGGTTGACTGTAAATTTGACATTACAATTGGAAACTTCCTTGAACATGTTAGCAATCTTGCTGCCATACATATATAATCACGTAAATGGGGCTTAATCACTGAAACACTGCAATAGCACTTCAGACACTAGAAATAAGCTTCCTATACTAGTGCACTTGTAGTTCAAAAAATGTTTTATAATATAATGAAAATACCTTTTCCTTTCCTTTGATGAAGTATTTACAAACAAAAATAAAATCACATTAGGAACTGCTAAACTATATAGTGTTATTTGGTGAGAGTAAAGTGATCAACCAGCAAATAATGTAAATTCAAAATGCACTTGGCATCAACAACTGATAACACCATGAACTAGCACAATATTAGCACTTCCAACTGTTAAAATACAAAACAAATATCTTCCACAAAGACACAAAAACTACAGCACTCTACAAACTACTAAAAGCAAAAGGCAAACAAGCTTTCAGTAAATTTCCACTTACCTTTAATATAGAAATTTGTACTCAGAGAGCCTGTTTCAGAAAACTGTTTCTATATAGTTTAACTAATAAAATATACCAGTTTGCAAAACTAAGATATGAAAGGCATGATTTTTTTTTTATAATTGAAACTCATAATTCTACCTCAACAATAATAGCTACTCTACCTGGTCCAGTTTGACTGGAGTAGATGAGGGTCTGGGACGTTCTGGCAGAGTATGGGGAGTTGTGGTTGGCATCGTGATACATGTTTTGTGGGGCTGGGTGATGGTGATAGGATGAGGTTTGGATCTGCTGCTTTTGCTGTGGCTGCTGCTGCTGTTGTGACTGATGATGATGTTGTGGGTGGTGTGGCTGTTGGTGATGGTGATGGAGGAATGATGTGGAGGAGGACTGGGGAGGGTGGCGGTGTTGTGAGGAGAGGGGACCTCCTCCATACTGCTGGTGGGAAGGGCCATATGACTGCTGCTGGTGGTGATGGTGTAGTTGTTGTTGTTGTTGTTGTTGTTGTTGTTGTTGTTGTTGTTGTTGTTGTTGCTGGTGATGCTTCTGCATCTGTTGATGGTGGTGGTGGTGGTGGTGGTGCTGGTGCTGGTGCTGCTGCTGCTGCTGCTGCTGCTGCTGCTGCTGCTGCTGCTGCTGCTGCTGTTGGTGCTGCTGCTGCTGCTGTTGTTCCTGCGGCCGCTCACGTGGTGGGGGGGCTCCAGCTACCACAAACAAACACTCAAGCTTGACCCAAACACACACACAGACATCATGCAGATATATACAAGTTCAAAAGAACACAAGGAAGATTGAAAGCAACAAAGAACAATATTTAATGCAAAAGAAAGTCCATAAATATATAAAACATCTTGTGTTTTTATCTACTTGCTATTTGATGCTTTCTATCTCATCATGCATTGGTTACTGAATATGATATCACCTTGAAAAAAACAGAGGTCAAGCAAATGGATAAAAATTAGAATTTCAAGCCACACTATATACAAGGATCCATGTTATTAAAATGTTGCATGCTTCTGATCAGTAAACACACAAAAAAGACCTGGCATTAAAATATTCCATATATGAAAATTGATAAATATAATTTCTGTTTTAGAAAAACTGCAACCATATGCCTGTAAATGAAAATCATCATAATCTATTTCATATACATTTGTATATCTGTGTTTAAAAACACATGGCCTGCACACTAACTATAGAACCTTACAGTCACCTCAACCTAATTTACTGCTGCATAATATCGTAAAACTGAACTTCCATTTTGATGATCAAAAATTCTGTCTGTAAAAAAAGTTATTAGTATCTTGTTCTTCCACCTAATAACAACTCATCCTCCAAGGAATTTCACCTACTTCAAAAGAAATGTTAAACAGTGTTGTGCATGTTTTGATGTTGAAGACCATACAATGACAACAAAACTAACAAATAAGTATAACATGTCAATAAATAAATAAGAAAGAGAATGAGAAACTTCCAAGGTGAGCACTCAAGCTGAAACAAAAAAGGATAAATAAAAAGCCAGAAGACTAAAAGCAAAGTAAACAGCATGCAGAGCCATACAAATACTAAGAAAATACTGTTATGTTCTTACTTGCATAGTGGCTGTTAGTTGGGTAATATGTGTGTGAAGCACCATGTCTGTTAGTGCTAGGATATGACCCACTTGAACCATTGGTAGGTTGGTCAGAATAGCGATTATTAGAGGCATTCTGTCCACCCGTGT